GACCTGAGCCGAAGGCAGTCGCTCAACCAACTGAGCCACCCAGGCGCCCTACCTATTGTTAGTTTTGAACACAGAAAATACAGTGCCTTTTCTGACTACTAATTTCTACTACTAATTTCTGACTACAGTGCCTTTTCTGATTACTAATTGCATAAAAATTGTTTTTTCATACTAGAAAATTCCTAAAATGTGTTTTACACAGGTACAGTAGTGAGTATTTTTGAAGCAAAGGCACTAAAATCAATCTTTTTAAACATTTGCCAAAAGTCTGTGGCATTTATAGGAAATAAAATATTTGCTTGAACAATATCTTCCTACTTTCAGAATGTCACTATTTAAGATTTGAGGTGGGTCTTTTGGCAACTAGGAATAGACTGCACATTATCAATGGTTCGTTCTTGCTGGTACTAATTTTGGAAATCCTCAGAGGATATGATGAACCACTCAACTATGACTTTTTTTGTGTGTTTTCTCCTCAGAGTGAAATACCAGAGCTACAGGTGTGGTATACGAAGCTTGGAAAACCATCTACGAGATTTCTTTTTAAACAACTGGATTCTCTATGGGTAGTTTTAAAATAAATTCCTATATTTTGAGCATTGCAGATAGTAAAAGAGACAGACATTTGATTAATGAATTAATGGTTTTTAATTTTATAATTGATTTTATGACTGAAGTATAATAGAGCTAAAGTTGTCCCCAGCTGTTGTTTTTTTAAAATAGAAATCCTCCTCAAGGCATAATAGAAGTGTGTGTGTTTATAGGTGTGTTTGCTCTTAGCATTTAGTTTGTTGGCTTGCCCTTGCCCTTGGCTGCCCAAGTCAGAAAATTGAGTTTCATCTGAGACTGTCTTTCCTGCCCACCCTATCTTTGTATACCCCCATTGGTCAAGTCCAGAGCATTCTATCACCGACGTGTTTCTCTTACATATTCCTTATTCTCCATTCCCACTGCTACTGCTTATTTCAGTTCCTTATTATCTCTCTCCTGGATTTTGGAAACTACTTCCTGTTTTTCCAGCCTCTAATGTGACTCTGTCTGGCCACCCATTACACTGCTACTAGAATGATGTGTCTAAAATGCAGATCTGAGTTTTGTCAATCCATTGCTCAAAGTCCCTCAGTGATTTTTCCTGTGAATTCACATCCCTTAGCATAGCACATGACCCTCGTTACCACCTCATGAGGTAAAAGACTGCTTTCATTTCTCGATGCATGTTCTTCTACTAATGTGGCCTGTCCTCACAGACCAAACTTCTTGTCTTTTTCAGAGCATGGCATGTCACTTTACTCATCTCTGTGACTTTGCACTTGCTTCTTCCTTCTCCTAGAATGCCTTCTCTTCATCTCTTTGTTGTTCTTCAAGACTCAGCTCAGGTGCTGCTTCCTGTGAAGCTTTCCCCACCAGTCCTAGCTCATAGCCACCTAGGAATAGGTGCTTACCTAGTTAAGCATTTTCCCCACTACACTGGGCACTTTGAGGATTGGGGCCCTGCCTTCTTTAGCTTTTTACCCCAGGTCCCTGCTATCACACTTAGCACATGGTAGTTCCTCAGGAAACATTTCAAAGAATGTGAATTGGTCCAAGTGAACACATTACTTCACCTAATTGACACAAATCTACTTTTCCTGGAAATTATTAATGTTCTGTGAATCAACTGGTCGCTATCAGTGATTGAACACCATTTCTGTATTAAATTCTAAAAAAAGAGCAGTCTGCTTTTTGCACAACAAATTGCTAGAAATAGCACATTAAAATCAATTTTCCCCATAAGGAATATATCATTTGGGGTATTACCTGAGCCAGAATATGGTGCTACGTATTTCATAGATCTGACCAATAATTTATTATTAAAGCAAAGATACGGTATAAGCCCCTTGAATTCAAAGTAGAAAAAAAACTGCTCAAATTTCCTAAAATGGGCATACATCTAATGCCTACATTAATTATGCAGAGGATTCTAGTGTCTTCAGAAGTCTACATGTAGCATAGAACAGCTGTGATATAGGGAGTGTTTCTATAGAGAAGGTCATGCACTGAGCAAAGCACTTTATAAACAGTATGTTGTTTAATCCTTGCAACAGCCCTAGGAGGTATGTATTTTTTCCCCTCATTTTGTGGCGAAGTGGCTTAAAAAGATGAAGCTGCCAAAAGCATAAATGTGACATAAACCTAACTTGCTAATTGAAATATATATTGAACATGTCAGAAGTAGGACCTTTTTTTT